GGCGCATGCGTAATGCTTTTTTCCATCAAGTGTACTACTTAACATTGGCAGTCGATATTACAACTGGAACAATATCAGATGTGATGAGAACGACTAACAATCTATAGATAATTATGATAATAGTTAAGCAAGGTTAGTGCAAGGTAATATTTCTTTTTGTTAAAAATAGATCAAATCACGTGACGGATAACATAGCCATGGAAATGATTATTACAATTTCAATACGAGGCCATTTGAGACCATTCCTTGTTAGTTAGACTGAAGAAACAGGGCTAAAATTCAAAAGGAACATTCAGGTTTTCCTCTCAGCTTAAATCACAACAAATCAAAATATGGCTTTCAAAATGATGATATGGTATTCCGAATGGAATAATACATAAGTAGAGAATCTCTGTTCAGGTCTGAATCTTTGCTTCTAAATTACAATCTATGAATTAAGAAAATAACGAATTATTAGAGAAAAAACATATGTCTGAGAAACAAAGAACGGAAAAGAAAGCATGTGACGTAAACTAAAATTCGGTAGAAAACCTGAAGGGTCCTGGATCGATGTTAAATCTAGTCCTGGCGTAATTTATTATCCATTATCAATATCACATTCTCATTTGTGTGGAATTAACATACCTTGATATCAAATAAATGTGCAATTGGATTATTCAGGTGTCCGAGTGAATCTGTATACAAAAAAGAATAAGTGGGTTGGTGGAAGGTGGTTATTGTCAGTGGAATTCGACAAAATGGTGATCCGTTTTGGATGGTATTTAACATATCTATTTCTACTGCCGGCGGCTCAGATGACAGAATGGACATCGCGATTTCTCCGCATCCTTTATTGACGTAAAATGTGTTGACGTCACGAATTCATTCGTATCATTGAATGATGTCAGAATACGAAACTAAAGCTGTATTGTTTACTTTCGTATTTTCGAAAAGACGGGTCGGTGTCAAACCCTTTAAAATTCATTCAATTGCTCTTTATCTTTTGTTTTTAAAATCCAATAACAAGATCGACAATATTTTAAATAACTACAATAATGTCGGTGATATATTCTAAATAAAGTGTCTTACAAGCCATGTTAAATACAGCGAAGTTATACCGTTGTTGGATCTATGAGATTTCACTCCGTGTATCAGAAATGCTGAGAATGAGAAAGCTGAAATCAGTCTACAGGTAAGATACACAAGACAAAATCATGGGTGACATATTTAGATCGCGTGTACGGACTGTGTTCGGGATAGATTAACTGTAAACCTAAAATTGTTCACATAACTGTTCGCGCTATATTTACTCTCGTGGTGTTCGCGGAGGAATTTATTGTGATTTAGTTTTGTTTGTTTTTGCTTATTTATTTTTTTTAAGGGGATGTGTGATAAAACAACAAACATTACTGAATGACTTGGAACTTCTCTACTTGTGTTAAAGCGCAAATATTAATTAGCTCGAACATTAATAGGTTTACAGTAAGCATTTTGAAAACTGTGCTTCTCCACTGAATTTTAAATAAAAACTCGCCGAGAGTGGATTTTAATTATGTATGTTTAGCTCGCGATCAATGTTTGATAAACTCAGTCATTACACACGTTCTAAATATGCCACACTATGGTTGTGAATTTGTAGAATCACTTCCGTTAGCGAAAATATTTCCCATACCAAGCTGGCATGCCTGATAATACCAAATTATCATAGTATACCCAGTGATATCGCCCGCACACTTTTTACCACCTCCACATCCCCTTCTTTTTTATTAGTTTAGATAACTTATATTTCCCATCATTACAACACACCAAGAATGTTTTTGGTCTTCACATGGAATTGCAAAATTATGTCGCTGGAACCTGCTTTACACTAATTAATTCTATTCCATTTAAAGTAATTTTAGCTACTATTTTCATTAATTCCACGGCGTTTCCATGACATGATATAATTTAATAGTAGACAAGAATTTTTACTACCAATAGACATCACGATTACGAGTAATAGGTGAAATTTAGCGGCAACGAATATCAGTGAATTCGACCTTTGAGTCATACGAAAATATATGGTCTTAAAATATATTCTTACACTATCGACCAACCGACTGCCTGACCCATCACTTATAGACAACATATACTGATTCAATAATAATTACAAAAAAATCTTAAATGAGTGATATCTTGGCACCAACTAAAGTTCATAACTCCGGACAGTTGTTATTGAGCCTGACCAAGTTTTCTTTGCCTGTCTTAAATACCTCTCGACTTCTTTTCTGGGAGGTAATTGTTGGTGCGATATTCTGATTCATTTAGATAATAACATCATAATTACTTAGTGTTCATAAAATGCTTAATGTGACATTACCTTATTTGGATTAACCAAGATTTACATGGCAGGTGTCGGCGATGAAGCCGAAGACGCTTACTCTTCCAGAACTTTTGGTCCTATTCCCCTTGTTTTTTTCATGAGTCTCCGTGGAAATATTTCTTTTATTCATATGTCCTAGTTTTATTAAGTTTGACCTTGGATATAATTATGTTGACAAGTTGGTATTTTTTTCTTGGGATTTGGATTTACTAATATTTACATGGCGCGTGTCGCCTATGAAACAGAAGGTACTTACTCTTCCGGAACACCTGGTCATATTCCCCTTGTAATTTTCGTGTGTTTTTCATTTTTATCTTTGTGTCCGCGTTTCATACAATTTTAGTTTTAATTAAGATTCTGTTGACAAACCCGTATTTTTTTACACCATAACGGCTGTTTCTCCCAGAAATTACCCCACAACACAATAATCAGTACTAATAATTCCTTGTCGTCCTTCGTTCACAAAATTTCCCTACAACACTTATATCAACACATGTTAATATAACTGTCCTACGTCATATACAGTGTTTTATAGCCGACCCTGTTACCTGATACAAATTGTATATAAGGACTCCCAACAGCATGGATCAAAACATTTAGTCTCTAACAACAGCCACGTCAAACAAAACTGGTAAACGTGATTGGATGCGTGCTCACTTCTTGGCAGGCGTTATTTTTTTTTTCATTACTGAAAATTTCGCGTTTTAAGAAAAAGTTCAAATTGAAATAGAAAATTGTTTAAGCATTATGAAGTAGATTGCTTATTCTAGCGTGTTTAAGATGTCTTATTTTGTCCTGTTGAATTCTAACTGTTAAATAGCGAACCCTGTATATTATCCCTGGCCTAGTACAACCGACCACTTAGTTGTTTACCGAGAATCAGGGAATTCTTTGTTTAAATGGGAGATTATGACCGGGTACGGAAAGTAGAGTTATATGTTATCTTTTAGATTATGTTGTAAATTTACTGTTTGTTTTATTTAAAACTTGATAAAAGCGATTGTAATGACATATCTGTTACCGAAACACAGGACAGATAGCCGTATAGCAATACATTTAACAAGTGAATTTCGATACTAAATTTATGACACTAATTCTTTTTATCAAATATCTAAGACCGTTGTGTAGATAATATCTCTTTTGAATTATGACATATCGCATAGTTCGCGAAAATGATATTGTTTTGATTTAGACTAGATTTTAATTGTTATGATCTTTAACCATCATGAACAGATTGTCTCGCACTGTGCCCAATTGTTCTCAATTAAACGAGGCTTATGGTAAGTTCAAACTAAGAATCAGATTGAGCAACAGTCACACACGTGAATAAGATCTTCCTAAGATATAAAATCTACTGTCGCGCCAAAGAAAGTAAACATTTTAAGAGAAAAAATGTCACAAATTATAAATAAACGATCAGAATTATTCTAACAACGCAGTTCTTTTTATCATTGAATGCGATAAACCGGCAAAGAGACCGATGATACCAGCCAGTGTTAGTAGGTTGATATATGGAGAAAGTTTGATACTGTTTACACAGCTAAACAGATCGCAAGCTGAATACGAACGTGAATTACTGACAAAATGACATCCACTGATATCTGTAGAGTTCATCAGATAAGTACATGGAAAACAAACACAAAAAGTGCAACAATGACAGGGTTTCATTAACCCTCTGGGTGGCTAAAGTCATCCTTTGGTTACGGTCGAGGTCAAGGCCGTTGTGAAGTGGAAAGAAAACTGTTTAGTCACGGACTAAAAACAAACCACAAAGAATAGTCACTGTATCTCATTTTTATCAAATTTTTGTACAGAATATGTGGACATTGTTTCATGAGATTCATCTTGTGGAAACGATCAATGAATATGTAAGTCATTTTAATTAAGTGATAAGAAATGAATCCCAAGCTAAAAAAACGAAACAAATATCTGTAGTAATCATTTCCTCGTGTCATTCTACGAACATTTATTTATATCGGTGTAAGACAGTGTGTCTACAGGGTGTATATACCAGTTTGGGTGAACTCCCTTCCTATATCTTTAAATGGAATGTAGTTATGTGTGTTGTTGCGATGTTTAACTCCTTCATCGATATCCGCAGTTTAAATTGACTGCTGGACACGCGTTATTTGGGCTAAAGACACATTCATGATTAAAGTGATGAAAACTGTAAGAAAAAAAAACAACAAAAACAAGTGAAAAATAAGGATGTATTATTTGTTTTGATTTAGTACAATACTATCCCTTACTGACTTCCGTGTTTCAATAATAACGATATATGTACTGTCCATGAATGTGTCTACTGTCGTGTGAGACGAGCTGTGTACGTTTTGATCGCCGCTATCAATTCCTGTGTTTTCTAAAATAACAACCCCTGCTGCAGTTCATACTACTCCAATGATTGTTCCTTACTACGTGTCTGTCGATCATTCAAATTATTTTACTGATTATCACATTGAAATCATTTTGACTTGGAAAGTAATACAAACAGTGTTTAAATAAATTATCAAAAGTTTAAGAATGATTGTATTGCACAGATCGTATGGTTTAACTATATATTTGAAAGTTACATAATTAAGATTAAAATCACGCAAAACAATTGAAATTCAATATAGATATTAAATACAAATTCTGTAGCGTTTTTATATTTCTATCCTAGGCACAGCGACATGGTTTCAATGGTCCCTCAGCGGGATCCGTGCCCCACGCACCAGCAGAAAAACGTAATTTTACGTACGAGCAATTGAAATCAGGCTGTGGGATGATCCCTATAGAGGCGGGCAGCAATAGATTTGCCTCACAGAAGGGGATGACAACAATGGGCGCAGTCCGTCACGTAGCTGATATCCGCTGTGACCAATACGACAAGGAATCGCTTACATTACAGAACCAGCAAGTGGGCACGAACCACTACGCCAGTCAGAAAGGAATGACAGCTATGGGAGCTGTGCGCCACATCTCCGATATCAGAGCTGACGACGCTTGTGATGAGGGGAAAGCATTAATTAATCTACAGTGCGGCACTAATATCTGGGCAAGTCAAAAAGGGATGACTGCGATGGGTGCCATTCGACACATCCGGGACATCGCTGCTGATGATGTGTCGTTAGAGGGCGCTGCTGTTATCCGTGGAGATATGGGATACACAGAAGGTGCCAGTCAGGCAGGAATGACGGCCATTGGCGCCATTCGGCACGTCTCGGATATTCACGTTGACGATCTCGCAGAGGACATGAAGAAAGCTTCACAGTAATAATATGCTTGTCCTAAATTGTTTTCCCACAGCAATGCGAGAGACATGCGCAGTACTGAAAGCTCAATATTTTGTCTACCAACTTCTGTCGCACTGTATACTTTACTTTCATCCAACGTTGAAAGACACCTCTGTTTGCCGACCACCGTCGTGTTGTTTGGTTGCTCCTGACAACGAGAACGCTTTCGTCGTACATCCGAGCTGTTTGAGGAAGGCCGTAAGCAAATGGAATCACGTGATCGTGAAGAGTGTTTTCTGTTTCTCGGCCTAAACAGACAGTGACTATATTTAATCAGGAGGACATGTATTTATGTCAGTTGGATTATATTTGATATTTCGTTTATAAATTCTCAGATTTTACGCTACATTTCGCATATGTAGACATCTTAAACGTTGGTATGGAATTCCAACGAAAAGATATTATATATCCGTTGTATATCGATTATACAATTTTACACAGCTTTTACAAATAAAACGTTTTAAGTCTTAAGAAAAGCCTGGCTCGTTTGTCATTATTCATTATCCGTTGTCCGAATGGCGTGTTGCCAGACTGGTGACAAACTCATAACTTCACGTTGTTGTAAAGTGGATGACTTGTTGTGAAAATGACGGGCCTTATACCTCCATGACGTGAAACGTTTTTTTTTTTTTTTTGTCTCTTTTGTATACAGAGAGGTAAAGCCTTTTGGTTAATTTCACGTGCTTGTGATGATAAATTTCTGGTAATGTGAGAATCATATTATGTGTAATACATTTGCTGTAGTGTGCAGCTTCAGTAGCCGTTTACATGGCGGATGTTTTCGACGGAGCAAAAAACGCTTATCCTTCTGGAACACATGGTTTTATTCTCCTTGTACCTGATGAGGGATTTCCGTATGCAGACAAACATCGCTCTATAGAAGATGTACTAGAATCACTGATTATATACTTTGTATCAGTATAACTGTTTATTACGGCAGTAAAAAAACAAGGCAAACTCAGCGAATGTATGGGCAATATGGGCAATAAAATGAAGCGTAGAACATTACAATATGACTTCATAAAACCACACACTGATCCTTAACTTATATCAGGTCAACATGCCTCTAGTCCTTACTAATATTCCATCTTTTCTTAACTTTAGAGTTATCTGCTCCTGTGAGCGGGCATTGATATTACGCACTTTTTGTGAGAGTAACACCACGAAAAAACGACGTATTTTTCATGCAAACTAATGACGTCGAAATAAACACAAGAGCAGATAACTCTGCACTACGATAAGTCCGATAGGATAATATATGTAATTAGATAGAGTTGATTGCGTCACGTATGATTTCTGTGCGATAATGTGAATCGAGAAGACACAATGGTACGCTATATTCCCTCTCGAGTATTTTACGCGAATCATATGAAAGAACTCATCTCATTGGTTGATTCAACTATGTCGTGAGTCCTCCAGTTGTCCGGTCTCATTGGTGAGTTTAATTACGTCACGTAACTTGTATGTGTGATGCGGTTTGCGTTTGATCACGTCGAGATTTTGTCTTCATACGGGCTGATTAATCGGCGCTTTATCAAGCATATTAAAGTTTCGTTATTATGCTTTGATCCTCCTGCAGACCGACTAACAATCTCATGGCTCAAGCAAGCTGGCGCATTTTTTACTTTATATGCATGCTAAGTGGAAAAGCAGGGATTAACATACAGCAATCCCTCGTATTGTAGTTTCTATGTGAAGTGTGTGTTCACATTTATAACAATACAACTAGGACGCGGTAACCTATTAATAATTGTGAATGACACGTGGAGTTCAAGGTCATTTACCATATATCTAGAAAAAAGAAACAACTATTCATAATGGAATTATTCAACAATATGTAACCTTCATGTCACGTGATAAATGTTTGTTTTATTCGATAGAACAAATTATCGAAGAGTTATCAAATTCTTAATCCAAAACAATTGTCTTTTGGCGGAAGCGGATTTTACTTCGATATCTAAAACGGTTAGGGTCTTACTAACAGCACAAAGAGTGTATCGAAGTGAGAAATCCTCCAAAATAACAATATCTACAGTATTATTTCATATTCAGTATCCAGTTTATCTTGTTGGCCTGCTTAGCTTATTGAATTTGCTATAGTAAAACAGTTAAGTTAGTGTCTTACAAATAGATCTTAATTTGATAGCAGCTTTACTGCTTTATTAAGTAGGGGTCTTACAAATAGATCTTAATTTGATAGCAGCTTTACTGCTTTATTAAGTAGGGGTCTTACAAATAGATCTTAATTTGATAGCAGCTTTACTGCTTTATTAAGTAGGGGTCTTACAAATAGATCTTAATTTGATAGCAGCTTTACTGCTTTATTAAGTCAGTGTCTTACAAATAGATCTTAATTTGATAGCAGCTTTACTGCTTTATTAAGTTAGTTTACTGTTTATTAAGTCAGTGTCTTACAAATAGATCTTAATTTGATAGCAGCTTTACTGCTTTATTAAGTCTTAGATAGCAGCTTTACTGCTTTATTAAGTAGGGGTACAAATAGATCTTAATTTGATAGCAGCTTTACTGCTTTATTAAGTAGGGGATCTTAATTTGATAGCAGCTTTACTGCTTTATTAAGTAGTGTCTTACAAATAGATCTTAATTTGATAGCAGCTTTACTGCTTTATTAAGTAGTGTCTTACAAATAGATCTTAATTTGATAGCAGCTTTACTGCTTTATTAAGTCAGTGATAGCTTACATTAATAGATCTTAATTTGATAGCAGCTTTATTAAGTAATTTGATAGCAGCTTTACTGCTTTATTAAGTAGGTGTCTTACAAATAGATCTTAATTTGATAGCAGCTTTACTGCTTTATTAAGTCAGTGTCTTACAAATAGATCTTAATTTGATAGTAGCTTTACTGCTTTATTAAGTCAGTGTCTTACAAATAGATCTTAATTTGATAGCAGCTTTACTGCTTTATTAAGTCAGTGTCTTACAAATAGATCTTAATTTGATAGCAGCTTTACTGCTTTATTAAGTCAGTGTCTTACAAATAGATCTTAATTTGATAGCAGCTTTACTGCTTTATTAAGTAGGGGTCTTACAAATAGATCTTAATTTGATAGCAGCTTTACTGCTTTATTAAGTCAGTGTCTTACAAATAGATCTTAATTTGATAGCAGCTTTACTGCTTTATTAAGTTAGTGTCTTACAAATAGATCTTAATTTGATAGCAGCTTTACTGCTTTATTAAGTTAGTGTCTTACAAATAGATCTTAATTTGATAGCAGCTTTACTGCTTTATTAAGTAGGGGTCTTACAAATAGATCTTAATTTGATAGCAGCTTTACTGCTTTATTAAGTCAGTGTCTTACAAATAGATCTTAATTTGATAGCAGCTTTACTGCTTTATTAAGTAGGGGTCTTACAAATAGATCTTATTTATTAAGTAGGGGTATTAAGTAGGGGTCTTACAAATAGATCTTAATTTGATAGCAGCTTTTGATAGCAGCTTTACTGCTTTATTAAGTCAGTGTCTTACAAATAGATCTTAATTTGATAGCAGCTTTACTGCTTTATTAAGTCAGTGTCTTACAAATAGATCTTAATTTGATAGCAGGCTTAATACATATTAACACTGTGGCGTTCTTGTACATGATGTTTGTAAAAGTTTACGAATATCATCATAATTACTCAACGCCAATCTAACCTTTAAAAATCAATCAGAAAATTGATTTAAAATTATGTCGTTTAAAGCAAATCTTTGGATGAAGTTGTCCATACCATCGTCACTTAACATATGTACTACGAGAGTTCAACGTCGACTCAGTGATGCAGTTATAGATTTGTACTCGCAGATTCTATCAATGTGAATGTCTCTCAATGATAGATGAATGAAGGTTATAAACTCCATGGTGTCTTTTTTAAACATTGATGGATAATAATTTGATAATTCACTACTTTGTATTTCCTACACAGGCTCAACGACACAAATTCAACGGCCCAACTGCTGGAGCAAAACCAACCGAGAAGCATATCGTTAAGTTTACCCCAGATCAACTGAGGGCAGGACAAGGGATTATCGGTCTTCAAGCCGGAACTAACAAATGCGCAAGTCAAAAGGGGATGTCCATCGGAGCCGTCCGCCATATTGCAGATATCAGAGCTGATGATTTGTCACAAGAAGGCCAGGGGATTGTTAGTCTTCAGGCCGGAACAAACCAGTGCGCAAGTCAAAAGGGAATGGCGATGGGAGCAGTGCGTCATGTATCGGATATCAGAGCGGATGATATGTCACAGGAAGGTCATGGGGTTATTGGTCTCCAAGCCGGAACTAACAAATGCGCAAGTCAAAAGGGGATGTCCATCGGTGCCGTCCGCCATATTTCAGACATCAGAGCGGATGATATGTCTCAGGAAGGACAGGGAATCGTAGGTCTACAGGCCGGAACCAACCAGTGCGCAAGTCAGAAAGGAATGGCGATGGGAGCAGTGCGTCACGTGTCAGATATCAAAGTAGACAACTCTTCGATCGAAGGTCATGGAATCATAGGGCTCCAGGCCGGCAGCAACAAAGGCGCATCTCAATCTGGCATGAACATCGGCGGTATTCGCCATGTCTCCGATATCCGTACAGAAGACTGTTCCATGGAAGGTCACGGGGTCATTGGTTTACAATCTGGAAGCAACAAGGGTGCGAGCCAGAGCGGTATGGTCATTGGTGGAGTCCGCCATATTTCTGATATCCGTGTTGACGATTACTCTCAGGACGGGGCAGGTATCATTGGTCTCCAGTATGGCTCCAACAAGGGCGCAAGCCAGGCGGGATCACGTGGTTTTGGCGCCACACGACACATTGCTGATATCCAAGTTCGGGACATGGCTGAAGATATGTACTACTAGGCTGTTCTTATGGCTTAGAGAACTAGCCCATTCCAGGGTTCATCATGGTACTAGATGAAGGTACGCGCCATGCAACTTTAATAAGAATACAACAAGCTCAGTCTTACTTAGAATAACAGTCTAACAAACATTGGTCGAATACCAGAAGTAGCCAAGGAATTCTTTACCAAGTATAATTAAATAACCTTCCAGCTGATTGAGAAAGAAATATAGTAAAAATGTCTCGATATACCTTGTGTAGGAACGTACAGATAAACTTCCCTATTGAAATATTGACTTCAAAATTCTGCATGTAAATTTTTCATAAAGATTCAACAGAAAACTGTTAATTTTGCCATATGAGCCCTGCGAATGTAACGTGAAACCAGCCTGGTTCACGTGAAGCCATTTATCGAGTCAATGTTCTACTTACATGATTCCAACCGGAAGATACATAACTTTCTATAAATAGTCCTGATGCAATACGTAATTATGATCAATAATGAGAAGATTTACGAGAACCACCCGAAGTAGCTTCTCTGAGACGTAAAGAAGCACGAGTTTGATTTAGAAAGGACGCTTTACGGGGAAATCGTAAACTTAGATACGTCAATGTTATTATAAATGAAAGTATTCATGTTTCTGAGGAAACGTTTCGAATTTTGACAATTTTACAACAAACAGTTAAAATTATATGTTAGTATTTTGTTCCTGTCTTATCTATGTAGTGTGGGAGCTGTTTGTGAGAAGGAGTGATTTGTTTTGAAGCTTTGAATGCCTTTTGAGTTATATATATATAAATATTCGGTTATCGTTTATTTTGCTATAAGTATGTACTGCGGGGTTTTTTTTTTAAATAAGTACATGACGCATCGAAACGCGATATCTAAAACAGCTGACAAGTAAGCTCTGTAATATTAAAAAATATAGCACAATTTTATGTTCATATGGATAGAACCAATTTCATTCTGAAATCGCAGAAATTGTACATAAATACAAATTTGTTGAACTATATTGATGTTTGCCTGCTATTGTTCGTAACGCAACCTTTTTGTACCAGCCGAAATCATACTATCATATTGTTAATCATATCACTTCCAAATTGCATAAAATGATACACCTAATAGCTGAAGCGGAGCCGGGTCTGTTCTGAGAGGGAAGTTAGCAGACATCATAACCATTATTAGTCAGCAATTATTCTCATATGCAAATCAGTTTGATTTTACAAGAAGTTTGATTTTGATTTCTTAATTTTTTATTTTTTATTTATGTTTTTCCAACGCAAAGCAAATTAAACGAGCAGCAACCGTATGTCCAACAGCTTAGCACAGTGAGACGGTCGTGGATATAGTTTGTTTGGTGTTCGATTGGGTTTTTAAAAGATGAAAGATTTTGTCGAATCAGTTAGTCTACAGATTTCTGTATAACGATGTTCAACAACTACCAGGTGTGATACTGACAGCGCGTGGCGGAGTTCTAAATGGTGGGTATCATTTCAGTAGCCACAACAGCTAGCGTGAATGAAAACGACCTGTTGTTTTACACAATTTTGAATTATATATATACTTGAAAACATCTATTAAATGCAATTATGTGTATCAGTTTATGTGTTTGTGTCATCATTCTGTTGTTTAATATACTGCAAATGTATTTAATTTAGCGCAAACAAATTTCATCTCATAATCACGTTTTGACGAAAGATGACTTCGCGTATCAGCTGTAATTTGTTATATTTATATTAACAGTCAAGCAATATTTTACCGAAATATATTTTAGCGCGAAAAGTTGAAAAAATAAAATTACAACTAAGATATATATACTTCCACGGTGACTGAATTCAAGTCCCAAACCACAACCACAAATAAAAACACTGATCCATCAGAAATAAACATAGTGTATGAAAGTAAACAATGAAATACTGTATAATTAAGGGGTAATTTTCTATTTTGGTTCTCAGGGATATCTACAATTTAAAGCAGTAAATATTACATAATTGGCTTGATCTACAGAGTTTAATTGTTGTTATTCTCGATGACCGAAACAAAATTTAAAAAAAATAAAACTTTTATTTACAGGTTTTACTTTTTATTAAAAAAGGTTAGTTTTTATTTATTCCAAAGTTTACAGACACAAAGATTGAAAAGCATTCAGTTTGCCGGCTAATAAACCACCATCACGAAACAGTTTTTCTGATACCATGGCAACCACACGAACAACATTGAAACATATTTATATATTTACTTATCATTTGCTACAAAGTTACAAAGATTATTTTATTGAGATTACGTAAAAGAAACCCTGAAAAGTTTGACAAATATTGGAATATGGACCGTTTTTCAATCGGATTTCATTTCGCGATGGTATTTTAAACCTCACGAAATTCAAGTTCGGTGTATGGTTTGGTACAATAACATTACGTGGGAGTCCTTCATTGATGACGTCATATCACCACTCGCGCGAGAGAGATTATCAATATCCTTGTATGATAATGAGCATTACCAAGGTTATAGGGTCAATTTCAACAGAAACTGTTATTATTTTTTATTTCTTGTATATCGATGACAATTTCTTTGTCAATAGAAACTTCTGTTGTTAGATTTCGCTTAGCAGTCATCAAAAACGTCATGAACAATGGCATATACGTCACCATATGATGACGTCAAACGTAACGAAATGTCACAGGATTAAAGACAAATAAATCAAACCGCCAGTTGTAATGAGAAAAATTACCTAAAACTTCATCTTATGGGAAAGTTTTCTCTGACTAATAATATCTCCTGTAAATATATCCATGTTTCATTCTCACAATGAGCTTAATATATTTATCTATGTCAGTTATAGCAGAACTGACAGAACGTAAGCAAGGCAGTGTCAAGGGTGCGGAGTCGAGTCAGTAAACCTGTTTTTTTTTTTAAAGAACGACATTTCTATATAGTTATGACCTTTGACTAAGAACACCTAGTGGGGAATAACATGGATACTATGGAACAGCTTTAATTATGACGCTTGTAATACAATGTATGTGAAATTATTAATTTTCGTGAGATTTTTTTTGGTTCATTTCATGGTCACTCTTAATTAACGAAATTATTATATTATGTCGACAAAGTGTTCTAATTACTATAAGCAGATTTATTTAAAACAAACGAAATAGTTTTTTTTTCTGAAACACCACGAAAACGGAGAATCACGAAAAAAATTTATTTCACAGTGTTCGTTTTCAACATTGACTGTTATAATGACAGAAAACTTTCTACATAAACTTCGCCAAGAACACTCTCGTACTACAATGTTTTCCTCGGTAAATCTAAGAAAATAGCACATGGTCGACTGGAACGGATGAAGTACTCACTGTAACCTAAGTAACAGGAGAAATAGTAACAGGTACAGAAAGAAAATACAGACCTGTTTGGAATTTAGAAAAACAGATAAAGTTGGCGTATTTGAACATGAAACAATAAATTATATTAAAACGTCGTTTTTACAATTCATTTTCCTGTGAATGTCTCCTTGACCTTGTTCGTCTTTGCACAAAATCATTGGAAAGTGTTTGTCTATATACTTCATATCAGAATATTTTTGACGTTCGTGCAGAGTTACCTCCCCGCACGGAGCTTTCCTACTTGATTTTATTTTTATGTAAACATGGCGGGTATTACGCGCACCTCACGGAAAGAAATTGCTTACAGGGGAACTGTGTTGAGTTCTTATGCGTAAGTAATAGTTCTTTTTGTATTATATTAATATTATTTAATTGATGAAATGGTGCTTGAGCTGTAGTTTTTAGAGATCGCGTAGTATCGTTGTAGAATTTTATGGTGCAAGGGAAATTTTAACCCATTTAAACATGCCAAGAGAATCATTTAGCAAAAGTAATTTTAAATGTTAATTATCAACAGGGATAATATCAATTTTATTTTTATTTATTTATATATATTTGTTTATTTTTTTATTTATCGAAAAACACATGAGGAATAAATAGATTCATATATACTATCAGTCTATAACTCCCATCGTCACACACTTACAGAGTATAGTCATGCATCATTTTCACCACTAAACACACAGCATTTTGAGTTGCACACTCTATCTTAACTATCATAGACACTATGTAACACAATCACTCTAAACATATATTTATAACTTGCAGCCATACTAGCACTCCAGCATTGTTACATATACAAACAACATCAGCATCTGACATCAACGTCATCATATACAATCATCATCCTCGTCACACATTAGCATCATCACATACCATCAGCATCATTATGGTCACCTATCAACATTAGCATCATCACACTTCAGCAGCATTACACATCCGCATTATCACATACCAAATCAGCATCGTCACACCTCAACATCATCATATATACCAACATCAGCAGCATCACACAGCAGCATCACACATCCTCATTATCAGCTTCTTCACACACTTTAACTTCCATGCATAAGGATGCTGCAGATTCTTAGACACAGTCAACATCATTATCTTCATCATCAAGCACACATAGACATGCTAATTTCAGTAATTTCTCCATAAACTAGTATGGACTCATAATAAGTGAGCAACTGACAGCTGTCACTATATCACTATAAGATAAATGTTCCTAGATATAATGAAATAGACAAATAAAAAACAAAACATGTGATGATTTTTTTTATAATTCTTTAAACAGCAGACAACTATTAGCTGTTAATAATAAATGTAAATCAATATCAGAAATACTGTCAGTTCTTACCATTGCTTGTGAAGTGATTGATTCTAAGGTGACCGATAAGGCCCATGGGCCTCTTGTTTCTAATCTTAAATTAATTTTTCAATGTATTTTTATGCACAACATGCGTACCTCAAGTGATTTTACTTATTATTTTAGATTTATGATCTTTACATTTATTTACTTCTTTTTTTTGTTTGATATTTATGTATTTTATACATCCGTCAAATGACAGGACATATTATGGTATTCTCGTCTTCCATCCGTCCATCTTCCGTCCGTATGTCCCTCTGTTCTTAAACATTTCAATGTCCCAGCGATTTTGGAATTTATTAAGCCTTAACAGATTTCTTTTAACTTTCATTGCAAGCTTAAGTACAATCAAAGCTAGATTGAGTTTGATTTCCATGATTTTTGATCCACAACTTTTAGAGTTACGGCCCATTAATGTCTGTAACCTTTTCAATGTCAGTGCAATAACTTTGCAAAGTATTACGCAATTACCATTGAAACAAATGCAATATATTATATACAGCATAAATAGTGTAGGTGATAGTCAGACAAAATCACAGGCGTATTTCGTGACCTGAAACAGGCTCTTGTTTTTTTTTTTTTTTTCGTGTGACAAATTAAAATGATTGTTCAATATATGAATATTGTCAGCATTCCATTATAACTTCATAGATACCTATTAGGATAAAATGACGGGACAGAGCTTGTTTGTTACACTATCAGAATAATGTAAATCACTCATACTGGTGGAGGAATTACAGTGATTCTAGCATTAAGTTGTATGGTTGCCAATTTATTTGCAGATAAGTCAATACCATTATTACTATTGCAGCCATGGTCTTTTGATGGCGTCGTTAACTTTACCTTGTCAGAATATCCTAATGGGGCAATATTTTGTACATCATGTGAGAAAAAAAAGCATATTTACAAAATTAATAACCAGAAGTAGCAAAATCACAGGGACTTTTCGAAATTATTTTTATTATCTTAATTATCTAGACAAGCCATTGTGGCTACATATAAATATGCAAGTGTTTCTGACTTCGTTTTAAATAAAAAAATAGTTGTGGAGTGATGGCTTTTGATAATGGATATATGTATATCTAGTTTTGATATATGCTTTATTTGACAAGGAATGTCAATTTATTGTTGTTAATAAAGTTACTGTTTCAATTTTGTTGTCATTGGTCCGTTTTTCCTTGGCCCGGAACTATTTCTGAAGGCATCTATTTGCATCAACACTGCATCGTCATGCCGGTAATTACGGGCTTAAAATAGATTTTCTGTTGACCAATTTCATTTGACAGATGGGATTAAATCCCTAATGCGTCATATCGAGCGTAATAGCTTATTGGATAAATATTTATAGCAACCTATATTGAACTTGGGGAAACCCGTTCGTCCGCCATGGTGTTTCACGTTGTAATAGCAGCAAGCTGCAAGATGAACTCGAGTAATTTTACGGATGTTTCCTTTGATTGCTTTTCATTATAACTACTGGAGCATGCATAAAACATCCTTGTGTCGTTGTCACGAAATGTAATAGATGTAGCAACAACCATTTGTACCTTAACTTTAATAAAAACATGCCAAATGTCGTATCTTTCTAATGGGAAGCCTGTTACGACGGAGATGTGAAGGGGACGTAACTCTTGGCGAACGACTACTATGTTCTGATATGAAGGATAGTGTCTGATCTATATCACTGTAGTGTCTGATCTATATCACAGTAGTGTCTGATCTATATCACTGTAGGACAGTGTCTGATCCATATCACTGTAGTGTCTGATCTATATCACTGTAGTGTCTGATCTATATCACTGTAGTGTGGGATCTATATCACTGTAGTGTCTGATCTATATCACTGCAGGA